AATGAAGAGTTTTCAACATCTTTCTGTTTATAGATCTTTATTCATAATCTTACATCTGAGTTGAGAGCAGAATGAAAATGCTTAACCTCATAGTCAGGCACAGTGAAGAAAGCATATAATATTCTCATAGTATAGAAATAAGTGAGTCAATTATGATAGAAAATACTGCAATTGAGTATATCTCAGTGAAGAACAGATAATCAGACTTCTATGATACAAGTTATACATCTGAATATGATGAATCTAGATCTGAATACTATTACTAAAGTACTGAATTCTCTGAAAAAGAGATTCTCTGAATGAAAATCTTGATATTATGAGTATTAAGCTTGCTTCAACTGTAAATGTCAAAATCATAATGTAAAAGATTACACTCAGTGTACACAGTCAAGAGAAGCAAGAGAGTCAAAAAACTAGCAGAATCAGTGAGCTTGAAGACACTCACTAATATTCTATGAAAAGTCTTCAAAGTGAAAGAGATGTCTGTATTAGATAACTCTCTGAATTCTGTGAATATTAAGAGAAAGAAGACTTCTGACTGAGATGCAGGTAAGAATAAAGTGAACACTCATCTCAATATCTTGAAGCCTGAAATGTTAATGTATAAGAGGCACTTGAGTAAGAATTGAGAGATAGCTGTAAAAGTGTTAGTAGATACAGAAGCTTCTATATAATATATTAATAATTATATGATCTGAAGATTGAAAGAGGTCTACTGAGTGAAGAATCTTCAATGCATAAGATTATCTGATAACTGATATTTGATATTATCTGCAAAAGTAAGAGTTCTCTTGCACTTTGAAGAATGATCTGCTATATTTGAGTGTGAGAGCTGCAGAATGTGAAATATGACCTTATTCTCAGACTTGATTGATTTCAAAGATTCAATTCACAGATTCAATGATGTACATGTCATATGCAGTTGACTGATAGAAAGAAAACAGTTCATACAATTCTATTAACTGATATGAGAAGAATATTTCATGTCTCTGATATAGAAGGATTAAATCTGCTTATACATTAACAAGTAAAGAGAATGATTTGCAAGATCTCATCTGAAAGCATTCTGTATGTCATACAGAACTCAGAAGTGAAGAAAATCAATATAAAAGATATACAGAAGAATAAGTGTATGAAGAAGCTTCTGAAGAAGCATGAGAAGATCTTCTGAACAGATCTTTCACTGGAATTGCTACTGAAATGAGGATTTGTACATGAGATTGACACAGGGAATGCAAAACCAGTCAATCAGAATGTGTATTCTCTGTCATAAATATATCTTGAAGAACAGAAGTGTCAGATCACTGACTTTCTAGAATATGATCTTATATAATTCTCATCAAGTGTGTGAGGCTTTTCAGTTCTATTCATGAAAAAGATGAGTAAGAAGTAACAGATGTGTATTGATTATTAAGTACTCAATAAGCTTATGATCAAGAATGAATATTCACTGTTATAAATTCAACAACAGTTAAATACAGTCAGAAATGTCTGATATCTATTAAAGATTGATCTTCTCTCAGAATACTGACAGATCTGTGTAGATGAACTGTCAGTTCTGTGAACTGTGTTTAATACACAATGAAGAAAGTTTGAATTTCTGATAATACTATTTAATCTGACAAATGTACTCATTATCTTTTAAATAATAATGAATATGATTCTTTATAAACAGAATAAAATCTCATATCTCATATATCTTGATAATATTCTAGTCTTTTCAAACTCATATAATGAATATCTGAAGTATCTCAATGAAGTGCTTACAACTCTAGCAGAGTATAAGCTCTATATCAAATCAATCAAGTATGTGTTTAAAATGAAAGAGTTGAAGTTTGTAGAATATGTAGTGAGTGATGACTGTATACATCTCATCTCAGAGAAATTGAATGTCATAGTGAATTAATCATGACTGAGAAATATATATCATATATAATAGTTTCTTGAGTTAATCTTCTACTACTGTAGATTTATCAAGGATTTTGTATGAATATCTACATCACTCTCAGATTTCTTAAGAGAAATAAATGCAAATCTGTGAAAGAAGAAGTTTTATTCAATCATCTGAAATATTATATATAAAGAGACTTTTCTCACACTGAGAAAATGTGTAATAACATTCTCAGTGCTTATTCAATCAGATTATAATAAATCTTTCTACATTGAGATGAATGTATCTGAATGAGCTATCAGAGATGCTCTTCTATAGATGAGTAAGAACAGCAAGCTGCATCTGGTGATATATAATGATAGAAAATTATCAGACACTGAGCTCAATTATTCAGTGTATGAAAAGAAATTACTAGTGATCAAGCATATACTGATGTTATGAAATAGATATATCAACAACAAGCATATGATAACAGTGATCATGAATTATGAAAGTCTTGTCTATCTATAATTGATAATAAAATCTTTCAAATACTTAGCATGTTGAATCTCAGAGTTTCAAGTGTATAATCTTCATATCAAATACTGAAAGAGATCAGGTGCTGTGATGCCTGATGTAATCAGTTACAGATCTGATTTCATAAGTGAGAATTCTGCAAATCAGATATAAGAAATGTTTGTGTTAAATGCACTGAGAGAATGTAAGGAATCAGAATGAGTGAATATCATGATCTCTTGCTTAGAGAATGACAAGGTGTTGAATAATAAATGTCTTATAAAAGTAGTAGAAGAGATGCTTCTGAACTTCAAGCTGAGGAAATTGAAAAACAATGTTGTGCTTTATCATGATCTAGAATACACAGAAGCTCTCTATCTAGAATCTTCATTTAGATGTGACTTAGTGACTCATATACACAAGGAATTCAGTCACTTAGAAAGCTCTGAACTCATAAGTGTACTCAAATCAAGAGCATACTGACTAAGCATGGCTGAGAATATTCAGATGTACACTCACAAGTGTCTGAATTGTCAGGTTGTGAAAGAATCTAAGAAAGAATTAGAACATGAGAAAGCACAACATCAGATAAAGTGTATAATACAACTGTTTGAATGATGAGAAGTGAATCTCATAGACATACTGCTGTGAACACTAAATGAAAATCAATGAATAATCACTGCTATTGATTACACTACTGGCTGGCCAGTTATAAAAGCAGTTCCAGAGGTAACAGAGAAGATGATAGCAAAGTTTCTACATGATGAGATCTATGTCAACTATGAAATGCTGCATGAGATTCTAACTGATAACAGTGCAAATCTCATGAGAGGAGCAGTGAGACATTTCATGAACCAGTTACAGACAAGACATTGTAGAACAATGTTATATCATCTACAGATGAATGAAAAGATGAAATGCTTGAATGAAATCTTGAGCAACATGCTGATAAAATATCTAGTGAGCAAGCCTATGAGACTATGAGATGAATATCTCAGGCAGGTGCTATTGGCCATGCGGATTTGACAGCATGCAGTCTTCAAGTATTCACCATTCTACCTGTTGTATGGATTGCATCCGCGCATCCTGAAGAATGCTTCAGAAAAGGTGAGGGAGAGAGCAGTTGCAAACACAGCAGAAATAGCAGTTATGAATGCAGCAGTAGCAGTTGCAGACACAGCAGTCGCGGATGTGAAACCAAGATTGAAAGAGATCAGTCACACATGCATAAAAGCTAATGAGTTACTCCTGAACTGAGCAATTCAATTGAAAAGAATATGAGACTCACTAGTTAAGAAATTGAGTCTCAAGATGAGAACATGAGTTCTCATATATAATGAGAGTTCTGAGAAGTTTCAATCTAGGTGATTTAAGCTATATAAAATACTCAAATCACATTCTCTGAGAATATACACATTGAAAGAATCAGAGGAACAGATCTTACATAACTTAATAAATGATTTATAACTTATGAAAGTAAAGATGCAAGATCTGAGTGAATTATGATTATCTACAGTATTATCATCAGTGTTGAAAAAGAAGAGACTTATAATTGAAAAGTCTTATAAAGTAAGAGAAATCATAGATACTTATGAATCAGATGATCTCACTTATTCTGATCTTTTCACAATTATAAGAAAAGAATGAGAAGAAATGAAGAAATCAGATAAATATCACACTTCAATAAGTGATGAGACTGTAGTCAGTCATATAATAATGCACTGCAGACAGTGAATATAATGTAACAAAGAGTGATCTCAAAGTAACAGACTTACACATGAGTCAGGTCACAGAAGAAAAAGAAATTCAGAGCTGAATTTAACTGTTTATATCAGTTCAATCACAGAGATTACAGAGAATGAACTATCTGAAACATCTGTAAATACATGAGATAAAGTCATCTCAATCTCTAAGAATGCTCAGAGATCAGATGAGATTAGTTTTAATAAGCTGTTTACTGTAGTGATCTGAGCAGGTGAAGAGAGACAGTGTAATGCATAAGACAGAATTATAAAAGATGAAAGCTGCTGAACCTAGTCATCAAACACTGTATCAGATAGAGGTCACATAAGAGTAGTGACTAGCAGATAAAGAAAAAGTATAAGAAAAGAAAAGAGATAATGAATTGATCATCAATTATAAGAGTTGACTGAAAAAGACAAATATTATTATACAACATCTCATTCATTTTCATATATTACACATTTAATCTATTTTCAACATCACATCACCTGAAAAACATCAAAAAATAAAGGAAATCTCAAAACTCAAGGTCTGCAAGAGATTCAAGGGCTGCAAGCTGCTCTCACAACAATATCATACATGTCTCTGATTCCTCTACTACTCTGCATACAACATTAATATCATTTATCACAAGATTGACTGAAATGCCAATATAGAAATGCGCATGTGTATGTGTAGAGAAATTGAAGAAGAGTGTAGAATCTGCAGAATCAGAAGCCAGAGCAGAAGAGATGAAGATGAAAGAAATAGAAGAAGAAGAAGGCACAGAACTGAATAAATAACAGCAGAAGTCATCTGAGACTGAACACTTATAATCTGATATACACACAATCTTTCTCATAGAGAAGAAAGAGAAAGTAATGAAAGAAGCTTAAGAGTGAAAGAGAGTAGTCTTAGCAGCATTGTCATCTTTGATGAGAATAGTCTCTGATGCTGAAGCAACTAAGAATCATTGTTAGCATATGAAATTACAAAAGCAGAGATAATAATTACTAAATGAACATCTGCTGATCTTAGAATTGTATATACAATTACAACATGTATGAGACTCCTCAGAAAGAGAGAGAGAGACACAGAGAAATGCAGGAAGCAGAATGCAGTATGTGAATAACTCATTCTCATGATAATATCTCAGACAAGGTGTACAAGTCTCACACCTGCAGATGTAAAAGAGAATAACATCTATGTTCTCATTTCTGAAAACATGGATATTCTTCACCTGTACTATGAAGTCAGATGATAAACACTAGAGAATAGACTGATATGAGTTAATTATACTGAAGATATTCATCAGAGCAGACATACTCACAATATTGAATTTAATAGTTATAAAAAGTTTCTTGATGTCTGTGAACATCACAACTTCATACACAATAAAACTCATAACAATTTTCTCTAAGAATAGAAAAATCAGCATCAGAAAGAAAAGATAAAAAGAAAAAGACTTACAATCTTGACCCTGTTGAGAAGAGAAATGATTCTCTGAAATAAATGAACAATTATCTCATTATAAATATTTAAAATGAATGTAATAATCAGTGTCTGTAACTGAGCTTCAGATAGTTGTGTCATATACAGTCTTTATATAATAAATTGTTCTGAGAGTCAGCAAGAAGGGCGGGAGTGTACATACTGAGAGACATGGTTTATTAAGCCTACACAACATCTCCTTGAAATGAGGAGAGCTGGTAATGAAAGCAGAGACAGTAAAACCAGAGATTATGAGAACAGAGGTAGCGGGAGCGGGAGAACCAGACACAGAGGCAAGTGTAGAAGATTGAGAAGCAGCAGAGAAAGAGACAGAGAGAGAAGCAGCAGAGAAAGAAGCAGTAGAAGAGGCAAGAGAAGACACAGAAGACTCAGTCATACATAATATAAGTAATTTCTTCATTATTATGTTCTTCAAGTTCTTGATCAATGATTTCACATCAGGTTCACTATCATCAGTGAATGTGAATCTGTCAACATGTGAAGATTCTATACAAATAAAAACAAACATATCAGCATCTGCATTCATGCAAAATCATGTCAGAAAACACAATCAGAAACTCACTGAAGGAAACAGTTGAGAGCATATAAGAAGATGAAGAAGATGTGTCATTCATGATAGTACATTCTGGTAATCATTAGAAGATAAACAAGTCCTGACCACATATGTTTCACAATGTGTTACACTTACTGCTAATGAACTGTCTGATATAAGCACTATGATGATACTTATTATGGAAATGAGAAGTCATTGCCAGGAACATGTATGAAGTGATAGATGAACAGATGAAAAGAGTTGAACAGAAGAAGAAGTAGAAATCTTGAATGAGATGATGACATTCAATGATGATAATAATGAAGATGATGATTGAAGAATGAGAAAAGTTAGTAAATGAGTGATATAATATAATGAAAGTTTCTTTGTGAGGGTGTATGTGAGATGCTAGCTGAATTCAGAATAGATTACATAATTATGAAATGCTAGTGATGAGCTAATCTGCATGAAGCTAGAGTATACAACATGATTATATGAGTGTGATCAAATCTGATGAAAGAGAATGTGATTTGAAAGAATGTACAACTGTCAGATAATAACACAGCTGCTTCTGAACTACTAGCGTATGAATGTAAAGAGGGTCATAGCAGCCACTAATTAATTTAGTGTACAAGATTCAATATATAAGAAGCCGGCGTACGCCTGTAATCGTACGCTGGCTTAAGCAACCTTTGAATCATATAACACTTGTTAGAATAATAGATGTAATAAGCTTCACTCTATTCTCAAGCATTTCATTTGAGATATCTTGATCAGAATTTCAATATAGCTCATTCTGTCTTTCAGATTTTAACAGTTTTATGCTTTCTTCAACTGCTTTCCAATCAGCTTTTTCAAAGTTAAACTGATTAGAGAGAAGAGGATTTTCACTCATTTGTTTTTCACTCAGTTCAATCTTAAATTGAATAATCTCATGACCTGATTCTGATGTCTTATTTGAATCAATAAACCAGTTTACAAGTCTTCTTTTCATTAGATTTTGTGACATGAAGATTAGATCTATAATAGATTTCTGTTTCATGTCTTTTCTAAAGAATGTTTGTTGATCAGACTTATTAACCAAATCTATTGAATGCTCAAAGGTTCATTCAACTAGATTATCAGCTCTCACTGCTCTCTTGCATTCTGAATTTCATCAGAAATGATGTGTATTGAAATCTCCTGCAATTATAGAGTTTCTTGATAAAGTTATGTTCAGAAATTCTCTATCAATTGTCTAGATATTATTATTTTCCTTCAATGACTTTTCATTATAGATATTTATGAGCTGTATAGTATCAAACTCATTTTCTTTATCTATAATATCACTCACCAGAATATCAGAGTCAGACATGATATTAAATCTTAGATAAAATTGATATCTTGATCTCTTTCTTTCATAGATCACTACTCTTGACTTTATCTCAGACTTTTGAGGTAAAAAGCAGTAGTAGCTTGAATGAGAAATGACATATTTTTGCTCAGCATCAAAATTCAGCTTCTGAAGTAGTATAAAATCAACTTTTTATTCAAATGCAATTTGAAGACAAGAATAAATGCAATTTGAGTTTCTATTCACATTATTTTGAATAAATGTGATTTTTGAAGAGTTTTTAAACTTTTTTTGTTGTTTTTGTTGTATATTCATACTAAAAGAGAGTAGAGTAGAATGTAATCACTATTATCAGATAGTAGATTATAACTATTCTTAAAAGTAGGAATCTCAACTGCTTGCATTATATCTAGTTTATCATCAGAGTCATTTCTCAATTCTCTAATCTTAACAGAAGTTTGAGAATTTAAATTCTGTTTACATTTAGCTGAAGAATTAGAGTTTGAAGATTTAGATAGTTGAGAGTTTCTTCTTTTTGAGCTTGCAGTTGTAAGTTCACTGACTTGACTCTTCTCTTCAGTTCTAGATTGACTTTGAGCTTCATCTTTTCTTCAGTTCTTTTGAGTTCTAGAAGTAAATATACATTCTTTTGAGCTAGATGCATGTTTTTCTTTGCAATTAGAGCACTTAAGCAGAGTATGTTGATAAATTTCATCTCTTTTTGAGCATGTTTCACATTTATGCTCACTAGTTTTATGATCTCTGGCACAGATTGCACATTTTGAGTCTCTAAAACATGAGATTACAAAGTATTCATATCTTTGACAGTTTGAACACTGTGTTTGAGCTTTGAGATTTATTCTTGAGTCTTTGTATTCATGAACTCTCATTTTCAAACCTGCTACTCTTACTTCAGAGATCTTTGACTGTTCAAGTGTTTTTATATATACTAGAACAGAGACATTTCTCCTGCTTTATCTGAACTTAATTGAATTTAGTCATACAGGCTCCTTTCTCAGGTAAATAGAGTTGTATTCTTTCAATTCATTTTTGAGAAGTAGCATTTCTTCTTCACAGTCAAAAATTTCAACTGGAATATCATAAAGAATGAATTTATCCCACTTTTCATCTCTTTCAGATAGAATTGTTGTGTTTAACAATGATTCTACTGCTGACTTTCAGAGATTCTCATTCTGAATAAGGAATTCATTCAGCACTGAATTCAGGCATTGTAGTCAGAATAATGAAGTTTTCAAAGAATGATAACTCAATTGAAGTTATAACTGGTTTTTGAACTTCAATATCAGTCATCAACTGAGAAAAGAACTTATTATTATTATTATTCTTCAATTATAGATGTATGCAGTCAGAGACTATGACATCTATCTGAGAACTTTAGTTCTCAGGGTTTTTTCTATGTCTGTAAAGTTAACTATTATACATTCATCAATTTCAGATATGCAAAATCAGAAAATTCCAGCCCAGAATACAAAAACTGTTTACAAATTGCAGTGTTTTAACATCTTTTGATACTTTGAAATCATTTGACAATATCATGACAAAAGAAAAGAGAAAAAGAACACAGTCTCAAAGATAGACACATTAAATAGATAGATAGAAAGAAATTGAAAGGAAAAGATAAAGAAAAAGATAAAGTAAAGAGAGACTATAACAAAACAAATTATTAAAAGAGAGTGTATAGCTGTTTTAACAGACTATATCTGATTGATTTCCTCCTCTTCATATTCAGATAATTCTGAATTTAGCCATTTTCTTGTAGCTGCTTGAGTTTCTGATAGAAAGTCTATTAAGTATTTAATTCCTGTCTCAGTTGAGAATAAGAATCTTATATTTAATTGATTTAGATCATACTTCTCTTTCAATCTGACTCTGAGACTATTGTATAATGCACAGTGTATTACAATATGCTCAGAATTCTCATTTATATTGCAGAATGAGCATTCTATTGAGTCAAATCTATCATCAAATCTTTGTATATAAGATTTGAAATAGTCATATTCTAGTTTCAGCTGTATTATAGATGAGAATATTTTCTTTTTACATTTAATTGAACAAGATTTCCACTTGGGTTTTGTTTCAAATCTTGAATAATGTATACTCTTCTTTTGTTTCTGCCAGCTTTCATTTCACTTGTCTAAACAAGATTCTTTTATTTTTCTCTTTATAAAAGATCAGAACATATTTTTTTAAATAGATCTGCTTAATTCTGCACTCTTTTTTGCAGCTGAATCAGCCAATTCATTGCCATGAATATTCATATGAGCAGGAACTCAGTGCAGATGAATTATCAGCTTTGATGTTCTTCTCTTTTGAATTTTCAAAACAGAGTTTAAAATCAGTTCAAGATTCATTTGATCATTATGAATCTGACTATTTCTAAGTCTTTTTAAAGCAGCTTGACTATCAGAGAATATTCATGCCTCTTTCAAACAATTTCCTCTTTTATAAGATTTTATTTCAATGAGTTTGAAAGCTTTCACTATTGCAAATGATTCAGCGTCAAAGACTTCATATTCAGAGCCTAGATTTCAGAAATCTGAGATAAAATTAATATTATCTTCAGTATAAGCAATGCCTGTGTCTAATCTATTCAAGTTCTCATTTTTTGAGCTGTCTGAATAAATCAGAATAGAGTCTTTTATATTAATTGTAGAAATTCTCTTCAAATGCTGTTCATATTCTTTCTCTTTTGATAGTTCACTTATTTGTAAGTCTATAAGAGATTCAAGCTTTTCTCTTCAGAGAGATAACTTCTCATGATCAACTTTTTCAACATTTAAAGAAGAAAATTGATTTTTAATCAGAGAGCATAGTCTGTACAGTTGAGAAGACATTTTCTTTGAAGAATTATGTTCATTTCAATCAAGAAATCTATTTCAATTCAGTTCATTTCCAGAGTTAATTGATGAAAATGAAGAAGAGACTCTTTCTCTGATTATATGATTTGAGCTCATCTTTACAACTCTCAGAGCATAGTTCATACAGGCCTTTTCAAATCTAATAGCAGAAGAAGGAATTGAAGCTTCAATTTCCATTGCTTTAATAGAAGATGATTTAAATGCTCTCAGAATTCTTCTCAAGGCTCTGTTTTGCAGACTTTGAAAGAGTTCAGTGAAATTCCCTTGATTATTCCATCAAACTTGAACTTCATAATCAGCTACTGATGTAATACAGGCTATATATAACTGTCTCATAGCCTGGAAGAATAGACTTCTCTCTGTATTTGATAGTCTGATTATGTTGTTCAATAGTCTTTCTGCCTTGACAGTTCTTTGTTGAATGTGATATTTAAAATTCAACTTGGAGTTTAATCATACTTCTAATCATTTGACATTTACACTGGGTTTAATCTCTCTATTTAAAAGAGTTAGAGATAGTTCTTTCTCATTGAATCTAGAAAAGAAATGAATTAACTCAGTTTTATTTATATCAAATTGAATTTGATTAATATCTGCTCTAACAAAGATTTCCTTTGCAGCTTCTTCAATTACTTTCAAATTCTCTTTGATAGTTTTTGAGCTGTAGACTAGATCAATATCATTCACATAACTCAGAGACTGCACTATTCTCATATTTCTATTTTTGAATAGATATGCAGTATATATTGCAAATAAAATGAGTGAGATTAGAGATTTCTGTGATACTTCTATTTTTATCTCAGTCTTATCTTGTTTCATTTCATCAAAGAAGAGTTGTATAATTCTTTTAGATATAAAACAGTTAACTCATTTTATTAGAGAAAGTGGCACTTTTAATATCTTCAATGTCTGAATTAACTTTGACTTTGAAATATGATCAAATGCTTCTTTTATATCAATAAAAACTGCAGTTGAGACCAGACCCTCATACTTTGCTATTTAAAT